ATAGTTAAACTTCAAGCAAAGTGTCAAGTAGCGCTCTAACGAAAAGTGGAGCCAATCGGGAGAAACTAAGGACGCCATTGAGTTTAGAGGGCTCCAATGAAGTAACCAACCACTGTCGAAAAAAAGTTGACTTGATTCCTCGCTTGAAATATTCTCACTACAGGAAGGATTCCCATTAAAAGTAGTAAATCAGGGTTTTTTACACACTTCTAGAGAAAATATTTTTGAAACATTTTACAAGTATATGTAACGTTATAAGGACTATTAGTTACAAGAAGATTTATATCGTTTCGACGTATTTTCCTAATGTGCCTTAATCTAATTTATTTTTGGAATAAAAATTACGCTCAAGGTCGCAGAATATTTTTATAATTAAAAATTGGTTTATTCTGAAAGTACACCTCTTGCTAAGTTATCAAATTATTTGTAATTGTTTGTAGAATTCAATACATACTTAAAAGGTTTTTAAAACGAAATGTTTCAAAAACTATACGCGACAAACCGAAAATTTAGAAAATTGTGAAAATAAATTTACACAATTTGAGCTACTTTCTACTTAGTTATTTTTCAAAAGCACACTTTAGTTAACTACCACATATGAAGTGTACACATAAGTACTAATTGCGCATAAAATTTCAAGCCAGTATATGGTGTGCTTCAAAAGTTATGACATAATTAATTTTTTTCCTCTTAAAAAAGTACATAAAAAATTCACTTGTTTTTGTACCTGAGCGCACTTGTGCACAAGGGTATTATAACTTTTTTCACATAACGGTTGTTTGTAACAGGCAAAACGAATCGAGATAGATATGGACAAATGTATACATAAGTAAATGCTCAGAATGAATAGAGAAGTCGATTAAGCGGTGACTGTCTGTCCGTCCATCCGTTCGCCTGTGCACACGGTAACTCGAGTAAATATCGAGTAGATATCTTAACGAAACTGCGAAAAAACTTTAAAATTTTTTTCAGTGAATTTTGTAGCTCTTGGTCACTCGCCCCTTATTTCAACCCCTAAATACTCCCTAGATAAGCCCAATAAATTACTCGTTGCAAATGATGCAAAGATGCGGTGATTTCTAAAAAGCTGAAAGCTATAGCTTCTACCATTTGTAAATTATTTTTCTTCCGTTGGCATTTTTTTTTTTTACAAAAACCGGCCTCAAGAACAATAAAAATAATATTAAGTAAAAATTGCATAAAAATAAAGGACTAAATTTTGTGTAAGCCTCTTCTGCCACGGTTTTTGAATAATCGTAGTTTTTGAATACGACATTTTGAAGGAACATTCTTTGTAAATTTTGTATGAAGTTTGAAACTTTGATTAATATAGGTTTTGAATATAAGAAATTAGCAAAAAATGTTTACGTGTAAAACATTGTCACTTAAAAAAATCACCACGTGTACTTCTGTTAAAGTTAAAGTACATTTAAGTTGTAAAATTATTATTTCCACATACTTACATACATATATATCTTGGAACGAAAAATTGTGTTGAACACTTGCTAACTGAGAACTGGTATCTTAATGTAACTTGCATCTCATTCCTCCGAGCGAGATTTGAGCTAATATTGAATTAAGAGTTTCTGGATTCTTACGGGCATGCAAATATTTGTGATTACCTAAATATGCTTCAAAATAAATATTATTTTCATAACTCAAATCGAAGGGTTAGGAGATAAGTTTGCTTAGAAATGTGTTCAATATATGTACGTAAAGGCAATTATGTAGGCACGTGTAAGCATATCTACAGTAAAGTATTTCGAAATTATTGAAGTCGTAGTATTTAGTTAATAAACATAAGTTCGATTCACTTATTAAGGTTTTACGTACATTCTACGAATAACTACATGTATATAGTTGCATATGTACATAGTAATGATTTTGCTTCTTAATTTGTATATTTCTTTATCATCTTATTTGGTTAGTTTAGTGAATTTATTAAAGAACCCAATAAACATTTGGCCTCGAAAATGATAGGAAGTAATGTTTGGATTTACTTTCATGGACTAAAAATTTATCGATCGCAGTAATTTTTCGACATGCGTTCATATATTCTATACAAATTAGTTGAGAAAGTCTTCACAAAACTCCACCCATTCGAAGAATTTTGTCCATACGCACAACATTTGTAAGCCGGCGCAGTCATTATATATTTGTATGCTTAACTATGACCATGTAATTATAAAGCTCGTAAAGTTCATCATCCCATCTTCTTCAGTACCCGAACCGACCATAGATTTTGCTTAGAATAGGTTTCTCGAAAAACCCCAGATCCTTCTTTATTTGACGTCGCACAGAGGGGTATTTGCATAGTAAAACCGGCCAAAATTATTCATTTTCATGAAATATTTAGTTTGTTTCAGTTACCGAAATAATTATAATAAAATTGGCGCTTACACATATTTTGGTGTTTGGCCGAGCTTCTCATCCGATTTGTGGCGTATGGCTTGATGATGTCACCAGTGGCGGATACAAAATGGCAAAATTTCGGAAACATTTTTTTTTTTAAGTTTTGTTTTATTTTAATCTTCAATCGTAACCATTTTTTAGGCTTGCACAAAATTATTTATAGAATAAGAAATCGTGTAAAACTGTTCGTCAACGTGAAAACTTAAAACAATGGGTATGTAGATACTATCAGGAACTCCCTGGGAGTTTTCTCTCTTTTCCCTTTTCTTCTATCATGAATAAAAATTCACTGCACATTTTTTATATTAAATGGTGGAGTTGAGCTGTCAAGAAAGTGGCAAACAGCTCTTGCGAAGTTTGAATTTTCTTCTTCCGAATTTTCGTATGTAGGAGATTTCACTTTCAACTGTGTAACCAGACATTTGTATGCGCATAAAAGTATTAATGACTTGAAAACTGTAATAAAAATTAAAAAGTTAAATGAAAAAATTAAAAGTTTACTTATCCAAGAGCCCTCGCTTGACTTGAATCGTGCTAGCGAAGCAGTCAATGGCACTGTGAATATTCTTCGAAATTATAGAGAAAATGCTGACACACATTCTTCAGATATATTTTCAAAAGTTACCGATACCGCTAAGGAACTTCGACATTTTCCTTCCTCGGGGAGCGAATAGAGCTAATTATCGTGCGTATAACGCTAAAGATTATTATCGAAAGGCAATATTTAAACCACTATTGGATAATATTTTGCTCGATCTCCGAGAAAGATTGCCGAAAGAGACATTAAACATTTTTGATTTAAACTTATTACTTGCATCTAAAATTGGGGAATATAATACGCCTGGCCAAAAAAATAATGCTATCAAACGCGTAAAATCGCTTGGAAAACGATGCGAACTTTTCTTAGAAAAAGGAAGTATCAATTTGGAAGGAGCGTATAAAGTGTGGTTAGAACGATGGACAAATAAGGAAAGCGAAAAGCCATTCCCAAAATCAGCAGCACAAGTTCTTGGTAAATGCGACGAATATGCTTTTCCATTGATTAACAAGCTTCTCCGCATCCTGGTCACACTTCCAGCTAGTAACGCTACTTCCGAAAGAAGTTTTTCAATCCTTCGCCGGCTAAAACATGATTGCGTAGTACCATGAATGAAGAAAGACTGATAGGTCTAGCACTTTTACACGTACACTTAGATTCTGAAATTGACACTGAAAGGATAATAGAAAGATTCGCAAAAGGAAAGTGCAAAATTGAATTTCCAATTTAAATTATTACAATAAAAATTCTGAATAAGTTGTTAAGTTACTTAATTACATCCTTCATTTCACCAATATTGTAAGCAAGAAATAAGTTTTTACATGTATATAATGCATTAATAAACCCAAGGTATAACTTTACTTCTTGTGTTTATTTTTTAATAGTATATGCAAATGTTTTATTAGACCTTGCACCAAATTCACAAAATGAAAAGTAATATTATATCACAAAACACTTTGCTTCATACTTCATAAAAAATGCTCGAACCTATATTTGCATAAAAAAAAAATAAATTAGGGTTAGATGCTTGTAATTTAACGTTAAATTCAGCGGCTCCGCTGGCTTGGCCATATCGTTCGAATTGACAGAAACGCTCCGCTCTGAAAGTACTCAACGCGGGCCGCGATGTTGATAACAGAGGAAGAGGAAGGCCTCCTCTGCGTTGGAAAGACCAGCTAGAGAAGGACTTGGCTTCACTGGGCATTTCCAATTGACGTCAGTTAGCACAGAAGAGAAATGACGGGCGTGCTGTTTTGGACTCGGCCAAAATCGCTTATGCGGTAACTGCGCCAATAAAGAAGGAAAATAATATGTTATTTTTAGAGAAATTGAGATGAACAACTGAATCTAAAGGAGAACAACTGCGACTCATTTTTCGTTCTTCTTTTCAAATTTCCCTCTCTATAAGCCCACCATACAATTTTTGTTGACGGCAATCAGAAAACGTGTAGCCCTAAGCAATTAATTTATTTCCGGTAATATCGCCATGGTATCAGTTTCTTATTACCAGTCGCTCTAAAACGTCCGCCGAAGGCAACTCGCCTGTGCGAGTCGTTTTCTTATTACCTGAATGAGTCCTTTTATTATCACTTTATTATTACTACAGGCGATATTTGGAATCATTTTTATATGTTTTTATACTCCATTTATTTTTTGTATACAAAATTGGAACTGGCTTCCTATTTGGACAATACTGTCGACGCCATATTCATAAGTTTTTGAATTTTTGAGAACTTATTTATGTCAAATTGACATGAAAGAAGTGGTGTTGCCGATTTGTCGACACAGCAATAAATCGGTGAGGCGCCAATCTGTTGCCATTGGCGATTGTTGCCTATATCTCAGGTTTTGCTTGGTGGGAGATATCAAATAAATATCTATCACGGGTTATTTTATTTTATTTTTTTGACATTTGTTTAAAATTTAATGAGTGATTGATTTTGAACTAAGTAAATAAATTTTACGAACTTTGGGACTTTAAAATATGCGTAATAAATAAAATTTCTATTTATATTCTAATGGACCAAATGCCTGCGTCTGTCTCTTGCAGATAGTAAGCCCAATAGCTGGTGACTCATACGATTTCCGCACGATTCGACAAAAACGTTCCACTTTGGCTTACAGTCGATCGCAATCGGGACAAATTATGAAGGTTTGATTATACAATTTGATCGAATTGGAAATACTTAAAATATCAGAAATTTAAATTTTGACAGACGGCAGAGGATTTAAGCGACAAATTGGAACGTATTTTCAAGGTGGGTGATAGCCCGGGACTTGTATTGTTCAATGTAAGTGTCAGTCAATAGCTCGAAAAAAACTTCAAAAATTTTCACGATTTCTTTCGACGACTTTATTTCTCTCCTTCTCTTTCTCTCTCCCTCTCTCTGTTTTTCTATTCATCTGCAACTCACTCGGCCTCTACATTTGCGTTTTTATTTATTTTTGCTTACCACTTCAAGGACACATCGCAACCGACATTTAAAGTGCAAAGATCACCCGACGGCAAACTGAGCGTGGTTTTTAACGATTTTCTCATTTTCCAGACGACAACGTCGGGCACACCAACGCATAATGACCACAACAGTAACGATAGAAATATTTCACCCGTCAAGGATAACGGTGCAATCATATTTCCCGATGGTAATTAGCAAAACAGTTGATTATTTAGTCTTCATAAAAGATTTTAAAATTTTTTCCTTTCTTGCAGATGAAATCATTTGCCCTGAGCGACGGCAAGGTAAACCCTACTGCACAGAGGTGCCAAACTATTTAGAGGCTACACAGCTGGATAAAATCAGCGCCGAGAAATTTGACAAATTTAGACCCTATTTCAAAGATGATCTCGTACAGCCCCAAAATGTAACGCAGCGCATGAACTCAGAGCCGCTGGAAGAATACTATTGCTCGAGCACATCGCACTTGATATATCCGAAGAGTGCCGAAACGAAAGAATCCAAATGGCTGTTGGTTGTGCAACACGACGAACACAGGCAGGGCATTTTGGTGGAACAGTGCGAGTAAGTGGAAAATGTGAATGAATTTTGGAAAGACAAGGTTCTTGCTAACAGTTCTTTCTACTTACCTCCGACCCATTGCAGCAATGAGGAAAAGCCATGCCGTTTTGAGGAGTCATTGCCACGCCACTACACCTCGAGGTGTAAACAACATTTCGTTTTTAGAACAATGATTGTATTGGTTAACGGCGAAATGATGGAGGAGCAGGTAAAAATGCCCAATTGCTGCAAATGTGTACTTCGGAATAATGGCGCGCAACATTAAAACTGATTGATACGATTCATGGAACACACACAAAAGTTATGTGCAGCATTTGAAAGTTCGACGTACGCGGAGCTTTTGATGAATACCCAGTATGACCTCAAGATAGTTGAAAAGTGCTAGTTTCACTGAGCGAATTTGTAGAATAAAAGAAAAAATAAAATGTACATATAAAATGTAAACCAAGGTGCCAACAAAAATTGTAAATTTCTTAGGTTGTACGACTATGTTAGACGAGGGAGTAGTTTGATAGATAAAATTTAAAAACAAAAATATTTTATTTATTTTATTGAGTATTTATATGTGTTTTTGCATTTAAGACAGAGCAGACTTTGTATAACGTTTTTGTAATTGTAAATAAATCTGTTAATTATTCACAGTAAAATTTTAACTTATAATATTTATTTAAATTTCAATTAATTAGTTTTTATAAGATAAGCATACTATTGTCACCTACAACTTAGTAAAAATCGCAATAAAATTAAGTTCGGAATACTAACTGAAGCACTAACCTAACGTTTTTCCAAAACCGCCCATCGACCAGTTGCAAAACCGTCTAAATCGCCACTGTGACAAAAATGAGATTTGGTAAGCTTGAACTCCAGGCATCGAGATTTATGCATAAGAATCGTAAAATCGTTATTAAAACAACAGATTTGTAAAATTAGAGCTAGAGAAAATACCGCTTATGAAGGCAATGCCTTCAAAGAAAACCCGTTTTTTCGCTCTCCTGGAAAATTTGAGTGCCGTTAGATAGGCGGTTTTGCAATTGGTCGATGGGCGGTTTTGCAAAAATATCGACGATATGTAAAAACGCGGAATAATTTCTATGTGGAATGTTCTATGTCTATGTCATATGTAAAATTACTTTAATTTACAAGATAAATAGATATTGCAACATGGGTATTAAACTGCAGAGGTTTAGGGAAGTTTACTGCCGAAAATATTTTCGAAGAGAGTTGCCACATGTTTGAAAAATTATATTCACTTATAAACTGAAGAAAACTGCCACCTATTTGAAAAATTTAATTCAGGTAAATTGATCAGAAAAGGTAGATATTGAATTAGTTTGAAGAAAGTGCGGGATATGTAGACTCGTGTTATAGGCCCATAAATGAAATTCACATGAGATAGTCGATACTTTATCTACTTTCTAATTTGTTTGAAAATCTCTCTTCATAAGCTCTTTAAATATATTTTGTTTTTTTCAGGCATGAGGCCATAAGGTTTTGGGAGGAAGTAACGACACAAAAATACTTTTACGGCGCATTAAAGCACGGAAGATATTTGCGGAAATGTCGAAAAAATCGCAAAAGCTAAAGATTCAGATTAAAAGATTTGAATTTTGTGCAAGTTTATGGAATTTTGTACAAAGTTTGACACTTTGATTTATATGATTTTGGTTATGGCTTAGAAAATACTTTTATAGGAAAACTAGCTTTCGGCAGCGACTTCGGATTTTTTCTCTCCATATAAAAAATATTGAGAAACCTCTAAATATTTTCTGATTTAGAAATAATTTTCGGTATGGAACAATCCTAGGGGGTGAGAGCATCAAAACTCCGACATAACTTTTTTTTTTTAACCACCCTAATATACATACAAATGCATACATAATACGCGAATGCTTTTTTATCTGTATCGCTCGTTCGAGGTGTCAATTAAACGAGGTATCGAATTGCCTAAATTACCTGATAAGCAGTTAAATTTAAATTAGTTGTTGGCATCGACCATTTTTGGATGCTTTTTGGTTAGAGTTTTTCTTTTAACACATAACGAAGTTCTGCCAATAAATAAATAAAAGTTCAAAAGCTCACAATCGAGATTTTCTAAGTTAATTTAAGTGTAAGTTAAAGTAAAAAAATGGTTCTGATCTCGTTTCAAAGGTGGTAATTAGGGCTATATAAAAAATACACATTACAAAATTGGGAAAGTAAAAAACTTACAGAAACAAATTTAAATGTTTAGCTAAAGTTTTTTATTCAAGACCTCTTAATGATATTTAAATATCCTATTAAAAATTAAAAATAAATTTAAATTAAATTAAAATAGTTCAATACAACTTTGTTTAAAGTTTGCAAACAAAATATTTTAAAGCTCAAGATCCATATCTTAAAAAAAATACCCTTGTTGAAAATTTCAGTTTATTTTAAGATCAGTTAGAGGTATTGTATAACAAAATTTGACAACATTTTTTAAGTATAACAGCCAGTTTCACGAAAGCAATTTAAGTGAAAAATGATCTAAATATTAAAAAAACTTACAAAATCCGGAAAATTGTGATGAATAGAATTTTGTTAGCTTTAGAAAAAATTTTATTTTAATTTCCTTTTACACTTTTTAAAAGTTCTGACGCACATTCATCCATATCAAAGGGCCCGATTCCAACCATTAGTCAATTTCCATACATATGGGACATTTCACGCCAACCAGGTCATTCTACTCTACGATAGTGAAACCTTTCGGCATTATGGAAGTGCCGCCGGCCCGACCACTTGGCCACTCACAAAATTGTGGGCCAAATATAGTAAACTTCGTTTTTAGTTTAGTAGTTTAGTTAAAAGGACTTTGCAATTTCAATGATATGATTTATTCCAAAATTTGTTTAAAAAATTCTTTACAATTTAGAAATACAACGGTGTCGTAAGTGTCCTATTGTTGTATATCGTAAACTTTAAACGCTTTAAAAACATATTAAGGGGTTCGAAAAGTACCATAAAAGTTATATTATGAATTTTCGTAGTGTTGAAAAACAGTTGGTCGTGGTTTAAAATTCAAAAAACGTTTATTTGAGCTTTTTAATGTTTACGACATCTAACAATACGACACTTACGACACCGTTGTGAATCCCTCAAATATGAGTACCAAATGAAAGAGAAATTGCGAAGAATTAGAAAATAAAGCTAAATTCTGTAGTTCATAAGAATGAATAGGTATTGGAAATGCCTTTTTAATTAATTTTATTTTTTGTAAGTTAATTGTGTTAGAAGGATAAAATTCGAGGATTTGGTCGAATGTATAGCTCTCCTTAACATATAAGTTTTCCAAAAAAAATTTTGCAAAATTTCAAGCATATTCAAGGATAAAATTTTAAAAGGACATTCTCAATACCTACTCATCCTTATGCACCAAAGAATTTAATCTGCTTTAATTATACTGATCTTTATCTTTGGTGTGATGCCTATCCTGTTTTTCGAGATTGCACTGATTTTTTTTTAAATAATTTTTTGAACTAATCATGTTTGTTCAAATTTCAAAGTCTATAAAAAAAACCCTGACATAAGAGAGAAACATTAAAAATGCAGTTTAACAAAATTTTTGGATGAATGGAAGTGTCTTAAAAATGCAGAAATTATTTAATTGTTGTCTTCCTTGAACAGTATGTGCCCTCAGTAGGATAATTTAAAAATATAAAACTTAAAAATACTGCCATTATTAAAAGTCATAAATGAGCAAGCATTAAACGAAAAAATTACATACATGTGTAGGTACATACGTGCGCGATCTTTTAATTGAATGTTGTAGAAAAGTTTGTAAACATTAAAGAAATCAACTAACATACATACATAGGTACTTACTTCATTAATTTTGCATAATAATAATTAAAGATCATATTGAGCGGCTCGGGGAATCCTCATATGTACGGGTATCTACATATTGCATACGTACGTAGATAAATATTTAAATAAACTTATAAATATGCATTCATTCGAATCAAAGGAAAACTGAACTATGAATAGTTATTATCTTCTTTTTCAGGCGAGTTCAACAAGGGCATTTCCAAATACCAACGACAATGCCAAACCTCAAGAAACTAATGCTATTCAAACGCACAACTCTTCCGAAAGTAATAAAAAAGCGAACGAAATTTAAATACATACATACATATTTATGCTTGCTTATACATATATTTTACTTAAAATTACACTTAAATACTTATGTAATATTTGTCACATTTTAGAAAACGTCAACTGCACCGGAAAATCATTTTGCACTGACGTGCCAAATGATTTAGAGCAAACGCAATTACATAATATAAGCTTGGAAAATTTGGCACAATTTCCAGCACATTTCAGAGATGATTATACAGGGGATACTGCGGTGCGATCAATGCATTACACTGACTCTGACGAATTTGACTACTGCGATTCGATAACAAGGTTGGTATATCCACAAAGCGCTGAAACTAAGGACTCGAAGTCGGTATTGGTGGTACAACGCGGTGGGAACAAACAAGGAATCTTAATAGAGGAATGCACGTAAGAAAAAGATGAACAGCAAATAGGGCAAATTGTCGATATTTGAATTTTTTATATTCATCATTTATTTTTGCAGTGAAACAAATAAAGAATGTAGATTTGCAAACAGCTTGCCGGTAGGCTACACATCGACATGCACTCAGCGCTACACTTTTCGATCCGTAGTTGTATTTATGAATGGTGAATTGAAGGAAGAATTAATAAAGATCCCCAGCTCCTGTAAATGTTCAATAAAATTTAGGGGTAATTAAAAACTGATCGACTTGGAAATATGTGAAGCGACAGTGGAGCTGCATTGTCAAGGAAACTCTTATTAATACTCTTATGCACAAAAGAAATTATTCAAACATACATAAACAATGTATATATGAAATATATCCTATTGGTGGTAGTTATGGGCGCTGTGAAAAAAATAAACGGGAATGGTTTTTTGAAATGGCAAACTCATTTATGTATATATGCTTTAATTAAGTTTCACCTGCGTGTAATAAAATCTGGTAATAAATTTTTAGCCAACTTCCCTTTGAGATAGAGACCTGAAACTTCACACTTAGCTTAGAAAACGATGGCAATGCAATATGAAAAAGGAATTAATGTGCTATTAAGCCAGCATTCAGACCTAGGGGAACTCAAGCTTGTAGAATCTCCTCTGCAATTGCAATGGTGGCGTACTATCCTAGGCAATTGAAAATAAACGTGTGTCTAGATCTCTGCTAACAGCAATCACCGCCTTGCCGCACCCAGCATCATTTCAACTTCCATTTATTTTGGCCTTTACGGTCTCTCGACGTAAAAATGTGCAAAGTGGTGGTAAGTTAAAGAGCAGCGCCATCCGTTTTAGAGAAAGTTTCCGTACAGCATTTGGAGACTGTCCTTTTAAGTTTGATTTGAGGTTTCCCACGCTATTGATTGAGAGTGTGCTCCAACATACCACTGATGCATATCTGGAGACTTTAATAAAAGTGATAAAATTATAAAATGTTTGTCACTTTTTTTGAATTACTTCCATGTTAAGGTATTTTTTTATGGAGATGAAAATATCTGACGAAAACGACCTGACCCAATATTAATATGAGTTATTTTTTTTTATAAAAATTTAGTTAATGCTTTAACAAAAAGCCTATAAATCCAAGCTTCAAACTTTGTGCGATATTAAAAACATTCAATAAATTTTCGTAAAAAATTTCGAGGCTTTTAATTATATTTTCTAGAAAAAATTTTAGTATGCAGTTTTGCAGCCCACTCAGTTCTACATAGTATAGTAAATTGGAAGTTTCAAGTGGCTAAAAATTTTCGTTTACAATTATTTTTTTTTCGAAGGTATTGTGTTCCCAACGAGTTGGCTTCCATGAGAGTGAAGAAAATCATGGATCGTGTTTAATTTGTTCTAACTGCTCATTGATCTTTATTAACAATAAGAACATTTCTTCTTCAGAGTGGCTCATTTTTCTATAAGAAAAAAAATTAAAAAACTTGGTCATTCCAACATTTCATGCCTGGCTAAATCAAGTCAAGTCCGGCCACTTGTTTGTCCTAACCGAATTGTTTTACGTAGCCTGAACGCCTGTGTCCGTGTCTCTATCCCTCTCTCCGATATACCACGACCTTCGAAATCAAGTCGCCTATCACAATTATTTATGGCGAGGCTATTGACCTGTTATGAGCGTAGTTGTACTTTTTACTTAATACTGGTAGTTTATCATGTAAGCATTTTCGAAGTAAATATGTAAATCAATTAATAACAAAAAGTACATGACAGGATATCAAACATGTTATTTGAGTATAATGGTTCAGAAATGTAATTGACATTAGCCATGAAAGCGCCTTGAGAAGGAGAAAACATTGACTTGATTGAGCTTATAGGTTGTTAATAAATTAGAACCTATAAATACCTACAAGTTTTTAACCAACGTGATTAATTTTGGTACATATAGAGATTAGGGTGGAACTGATTTTTTACAGGTGTTATATATATATATACCTCCATACAGAGTATTACAAAGTGGCGTAGCCAAAAGTTCGGAAGGGCGGGCGGGAATGACCACCAATTTTAAGGCTAGACATATAATGGTTGGACATCGTTTGAGTGGTTACTTTCATATATGGGTCATTGCTATTCCGTGGGATATCCATGATTTGTTTAACTTTAAAATATAAAATTAGTTTACTACTCCAATTCATCTATCTAATCCTGCTTTTTTTCAGAAGCGGTAGAGTTACACTGTACACTGATTGTAGGGACGCTAAAATAACGCAAAAAAAGGCTGTATGGCAACTGGCTACTGACAACTGAGACATGTCACGAAGTTACGAGTCTGTAAACCCCTCTTTTGCTAGTACACTTTTTAATATAACGGTTCTTTCAAAACTCGCTTTACAAAATATGAATGCAATGACTCAAAAGTAAAAAAAAATATTAGTTCACTGACGACGGGGGGTTCTGTCGCCCCAATTCCCCACCGTCCCTCCTTGGATATGCCACTGATATAATATACGCATATTGTTTTCTCTACCTCCGAAACATTTTGAAGTTCATTGCCTTCGATAATTAATCAAATATTTATTTATAAGACATTAATAAATTATAACGATAATCTGCTTCCTCAATGTACGCAAAGCTAAGTGAGTTAAAGGTGTCTTCAAACTTATAAGGACTGCTCTCAGTCTTAAGGTCTTCACTTAATTACTGTACGGTAATTGTAGAAAAAACACGAGAAGTATACACATACGTTTACGTGGGTATGTATATATACATACACTTCATAAGAAGGCTGTACTAACAAATGCAAGGAGACTGATGGTTTGGCGTAATGATTTTTTTTTTAACAAAATTGTACTTATGGGTAAAAATCCCAGTGTGAAAATGGGAACGCACTACCTTTTTTACCAAGAAAAGATGAACAACTACGGCTGAACGTAGCTTTAAAGCCACAAGCAAAATAATAAGTTTGAAAACTAACTCAAGTATGTTCAATTATGCGCTGTTGAGAAATTCTTGTATATTTTCGTGCATAGTATCAGGGATGGAAAATGGAATTTTCAAATTGTAACCACTTGGAGAAAAGAATTGTACCTATTACCCTATTGATTTACCTAACAATTAGTAAATGGGCTTAGGCTTTAGAGAAATACGAGGAAAAATTGATTTGACTATAGGGTTACGCCGGTTGCCGTTAACCATAATTTCGGGCTGTGATAAAATTTAGATCTACTAGAACCTCTCCAAGACTTACCAAACTAAACAATATTTTAGTTAAGGCATATCAGCCTCGTTAATTTGTGTTTATTTCAGCTTTTAATAATAGCTGTTGATGGTACTGCAAGTTCTTTCAAACACACTTCTGAAACATTTTTATGCCTACACTCACTACAAATCAAAGATACATCATTATTGGGAATTTATAATATCGAGAGGTAAAGGCCTTTGTTTACTTACGTAGGCAATAGCATAAATTTTACTTCTGCTAAATATTGTTAACAAGGGCTCGAACGAAGAATTGGTGCTAATTTGGGCTCAGTCAGCAAATTGGCAAGTCGAGACGCCATCAAAGAAAAACTAAATAGATTTTAAAAATATGCAATAAATCTTGTACTTCTATAGGAGACCACAATGCGGACGATATCTGACAAAGAAGAAAGGACAAATGTACCTACATACATAAGTTCTTTAGCTTTGGTAAATTTGCTCCTCTAAATTCAAAAGTATCTGTCTGCAGTTGGTTGGCATTACTGACAGAACTATGCAAAGCAGAAAAATATTTATTTTAAATGTACTTACATAGGTTTTAAATGTACCTTAAAAGATATAATTTTACCAAATGTACCTTAAAATTAAAATATGGCTGAAAAGTACAATTTTACCTACTTTTCCACCAATGCTACCTATGCATTAGGAAATTAAAATGCATACAGGTATGTATGTATGTATATATCTTCCTTGCTGTCATTCTAAATAAATAGAATCCTAAGCTACAAGTCCTTGATCAAGCGATGTGTATGCGCTTTTGAAGCCCAAACAACAATTCAAGTTCATACTCACCTACATATTTATGGACGGACATAAGTAAATTGGTACCACATTCATATGCACATGCTCGTTGTTTGAAAAGTGGCAGGCAAATCGATAAAGAAAATACAATGGTTTTATTTATTTTCATACGGAAGTAAGTAAAAGAAGACATACATATGTGCGTACACACTTATAAATATAGATATGTAAATATGCATGTTATTTGACATATATGTACATGTATGCGTTTAGGCGCGACTGCCCAGTCGGACTGGGTTGCTTCCAAAATGTACTTATAGCACGCATCTTTTTCCACTCGGAAGTAGTTCCAAAAACATGAAAGCTTCACTTCGCTTTTCTACAGGCGCACAGTGGTCGGAGAGGCCATGTTTAACGCGAAAAAGGCTTATTTGAAAACTGTGATAAATTAACCGGAATAAAACGATTCTTATTCCGAAATGCCCAATGAACACAAAACTGATTAATATTTACAATAATATCTGCTGAGCTAGCCGTTGAAGCTGTTTAATTCAACGAATTCGATCGTGGCACGTTCTAACAGTTATTTGTTTCTAGCTTTCCTAACATCTTTTTTTTATTGAAGCTTTCAACTATAACAGTAACTGCTGGTTCGGTGTTACTTCTTAAATTGGTTGCTAAATTATCAATACCTTAATAGCTTGGCTTTTTTTTCAAGAATAATTTTTTTTCAAAGGGGTATAACTAAATAATGAGTAGGGCCTATTAGGATATTCGTTCCCTTATTTCACTAGACCAACTTTAGCAGTTGTTCCAAACATCATCATGTGTATTAAAACATTAAAGATTAATGTAATTTATTATACAGTTAGCATCATACAATTTATAAGATGTGTCCAACCAAACCTGAAGTAAATTTACAAAAATCCGAAATAGCGAATCCAATACCTATGGTCCCCAAGAATCTAAAAACTATTGAATTTTCATGAAATTTGGTATTTAGAGGTTCTTAAGTTCCTTTTAATAAACTTCGAACTAATTTTTGAAAATTATGTAATTTTTCTTTCGTTACAATATGCTCAACTGAAAATAACAGTTGATTAGGCAGTTGTCAACTGAAAAAGTTTGAATGTGATATAGGGTTTTTAATCAGTGTTTGAAAAACTGTCAGCACAGCATCCACAGCACTACTATTTTTGGTTTTGCTTCACTTTCATTTTCATTGGAACTGCTTTGCTTGCGTTGTGATGTTGAAAATTGTATTTTACTTTTTTATCGGCAGTTATTTATTGGTGGCCGCTGTGGTGTAGTGGTAAGCAGTGCGCACTTCCACTCCGCAGCGCCTGGGTTCAAACTCTGGTCAAAGCAATTTCGCAAAAAAAATATAGAAAAAAAGGTTTTTTCTTAATAGCGGTCGTCCCTCGACAGGCAATGGCAAACCTCCGAGAAAATGTGTGACAACA